ATTTTAATTTTTTGTAAATTTTATTGTATTTATTATATCAAGTATTATTATATTTAAAATCATTAAACATAAAAAAATTTATATTATAATTTAAAATATTCTTGTTGATCCTGACTGTATTATTATTAGCATGTTGAATTTAAACTGTTATTTCTGCAAAATTCATCCATTTGCAAAAAAAAAAAATAAATTGCTTTGATTAAAATTATATGTGGAGTACTAATACAGGAGAATATGTTAATTTTCTAAAGTTGTAATAGTGCAAAAAGTATTTTAATAAAGGAAAATTTCAAATGAATACTTTACAATACTGAACTTTTTAAACCCTCTGAATTTTTAAAATACTATCTACTTTCTATCTTTTCACACAAATTTGGCACCTATATTGTTGAAAATGGGGGAGAAATAACAATTTGAAAACTGCACATTTTATCAAGAAGATTAATTATAATGTTATAAAGTGCTATAGTATTTGATTCTTCTGCTTGCAAAAGCTTAAGATAGAATACTTTAATAACTCCCTTATTGCAATACTTAACATATATAAAAAAGTGTGAATTTGTGAAAATGTCAGTACTTCCATCAACCATAACTCCAAATGCTTTACAATTTTCCAATTCATTTCAAATAACTAGTTCAATAGATTCAGATATTGATTTTAATAACTCTTGTCCAGATTTGTTATTTTTATATGTAATAGTATCATTTAAAGAAAATAGATTAGAACTTGAAGAGCATGACCAAGATTAATAAGACTTGGAAGTTTGGAAATTGGAATATCTTCTTTTGCCATCCAGTAAATCATTTTCATTATAATAATTATATGTTTGTTACCATTGCTAATGGCTTTTTTGGAAAACTCTTGCATGATCATTCTTGCCTTTTCTAGAAGCAAAGCATCTTTATGTTGGTTTGAAAATGCACAAGTTGCTAGAGCAGTAGATTTTGAAACATTCTTTGATCCTAAATATTAACATTATAACATTAGTAAATTAATAATTGCAAAATGCAAAATTAATTAATTATATTTATTTGTCACCTTTTCCTGCAAATTGATTTTTTTTCCATGTGCTTTACAAATTGTGCAAAACATTCTCTTTGTTGCTACATCATATTTTAACCATTTATATATGTTTAACCATTCATGTTGAAAACTTCCTCCTGATTTTTAAAATGCACTTTTTTATTTGACATTTTAACATGGTTTACACTTAATTCACAATTTTTCTTTTTTTATTGATTTTTTTGAAGTATCATCATCATCTGAGCCTTGAATTGTCAAATCATCTGAATCCTCTATATCCGATTCATCAATATTTGTTTCATCTATAAATGCTTCATCCCAAATTTCAGTAGTCAAATTATTTAATTCTTCTTGTTCTATATACTATTTATTTGTAATTTATTTTTTTGAATAAGGGAAAATAAAACACGTAAATATATATATTTAAAGTATATATATTTTTAAATTTAATAAATTAATAGCAGTCTTTTTTGAAATAAATATTTAAATTGAGTCAATACTTTTTTTCTGAAAATTCAAAGGATAAAAATTGTGATTCTGTCTGTTCATTGAAGTAAAGACATATTATATATATTAAATTTGATATATTTTTTTAACGCGTATGGAAAATCTGTACAAAAAGGAAAAATATCCGGCAACTCTTTTTTTCCGAAGTTAAAAATTTTAAAAGGAAAATCCGGATTTTAAAGTACTATTTCCAGCCCTGGTTGGAAACCATCAGATGAAGAACCATTAAAAAAAAGAAAAAGAAAAAGGAAGGGCTTACCATATTAGTGGCTTTTGACAGAAACAATTAGACCTTTGTAACTAAATGAAAGCCAAAAAACTAATTTCCTAATTTACCTGAACATTACGTTGAATATCTCGTGACAGGAAGCAATGAAACGAATAAAAGAAAAGACAATTCTAATTTTTAAGCAACACGCTCAGAGTGCATAGCATTATTGCCTTTGATAAGGCAACTTCACAAATATATATATATATGGCATCAAAGTTTTATTTACTGCAATATAAATTGAAAAAGGCTTTAATTATCAATGAAGAATCAGCCTTTGCAAAACTTCAATGATTGCAACGTTAATTTTTTCACAATCATTAGTAATAAAGGAGTCAAAGATCTTTGTGAAGGTTGCATGTACTTTTATGTTTTTTTCAGCATCTTTATGTTTTACTGCCTCTATCTATATATAGACAACAGACTTCTTCTCACGATTTACAGTATGATTGCAACAATGACACAATAATCTTCCTGATTTAACATTTGTTCCTGAGACGTTCTAATGCATTGGCCATCACTTTATCATTGAAATTAATTTAATAAAATGGATAATTATGCTCAATGTGTGATTAGATCTTTTTTTCAACATCATCTACTGGTTTCCATATTTTTTAGTACAGGAAAGTGCATTTTTCTAACGCATTCCATGTCAAAAACTTCTTTACATGATTTTTATAGCAGTGTAGTTTTGTCGATACGTTCAGAGTTCAGACACCTAACCATCCAACGTGACAGCAATTGAATTAAAGTCGGATGATGGCAATCCTTTATATTGAAACTAGAGCAACTTTTGAAATGTCTCTATTATCCATTTGAACTACACAAATCATCTACCTTATTAGTGTCGTTTTCAATAAATGTGTACATAAATTATCAATAACTTTAACTATTTTTTAACATTGATATTTGATTTTTAAAGATTACATTATCATTTTAGTTGTCCTCACTTACAATAAAGTAAATCTGACTCACTGAAGATGGAAAATTAGGTGGTCCCAAATTTTTATTTCAAAGTCTATACAAGGTGCTTCATCTGTGCTAAAGAACTCGTCCCTGGATGAAAGACACTATTTATGGTTGGCTCGGTCTAAAGACCTCCTACTGCTGCGCCACACGCTCAAATTTCAAAAATTGCGATTTCATGATTCGTTCAAAAATGCAATAAAAACTTTTCAAAAA